TAGTAAGGTTCTGTTGTTCTTTGCTCAACAAGTTCACTGTATTTTAAAAGTTTGACAACATTCAGAGTGGATTTAGTCTAGAAAGGTTACTCAGGTTTATGATGGCAGCTTGACCTGGTAGATTTCTCAGGACGGGCTGTTTTGTTACTACGTGAGGTTTTATGGAGCAGAGAATATTTAGTGATAAAACCAGCCACCAGGAGAACAAGCCACTGTGTCTCTGGTTCTGGTCCCAAGACCAGGTAAATCGATCAAGGCCCAACTTAACAAGGACCGCCACCGGTGCTGTTGACAAACAGGGTGCCGGCAGAAATTATGCTACTGTTAGTTGAAGACCACGAGGAGGGAAACGTGTCAGGAGACAGAGGAGAAGATAAAAGTGAAGAATGTAGGACTGAGGGTTACAACTCTAAATGTGGGGACAATCACAGGCAAAGGTAGAGAGCTGGCTGACATGATGCTGAGAAGGAAGGTAGATGTTTTATGTGTCCCAAGAGACCAAGTGGAAGGGCAGCAAGGCTCGCAGCATTGGAGCAGGTTCAAACTGTTTTACCATGGTGTGGATAGAAAGAGAAATGGAGTAGGGGTGGTCCTGAAGGAGGAGTTGGCAGAGAATGTAGTAGAGGTGAAAAGAGTGTCAGATAAGGTGATGTGTCTGAAGGTAGAAGTAGAAGGTCTGATGCTAAATAAATGTTGTCAGTGGTTATGCTCCACAGGTTGGATGTGATGTGGAGGAGAAAGATACATTTTGGTTTGGTTTTTGTTTTGAATGCACATTTTTATCCTGTTTTTATTAATTTTGTCATGTTTAAAGTTTGTACAATTTGCTGGCTGTCATCACCACCACTACTTACTGTAAATGAATTGCCCTTCAGGGACCTAATAAAGTGAAGTGAAAGATGTGGATGAAGTGATAGAGAGTATTCCCAGGGAGGAGAGAGAGGTGATGGGAGCAGACCTGAATGGACATGTTGGTGAAGGAAACAGAGGATGAGGAAGTGATGGGTAGGTTTGGTGTCAGGGAAAGAAACCAGGAAGGACAGATGGTGGTGGATTTCACCAAGAGAAGGGAAAAGACTATAGTCAACACCTATTTCCAAAAGAGGGAGGAGCATAGAGTGACCTATAAGAATGGAGGAAGGAGTACGCAGGTCGACTACATTCTGTGTAGAAGAGGAAACCTGAGGGAGATTGGAGACTGTAAGGTTGTGGCAGGGGAGAGCGTGGCCAGACAGCATCGGATGGTTATGTGTAGAATGACTGTTGTTGTGAAGAAGAGCAAAAGAGTCAAATCAGAGAAGAAGACCAAATGGTGGAAGATGAAGAAGGAAGAATGTTGTGATAAGTTCAGAGAGGATCTGTTAAAGGCTCTGGGTGGTAAGAAAGAGCTTCCAGATGACTGGACTACTACAGCAACAGTAATTAGAGAGACAGGTAGGAAGGTACTTGGTGCGTCATCTGGACAGAGAATGGATGATCAGGAAACCTGGTGGTGGAATAGTGAAGCGCAGGAAGCTGTTCAAAGAAAGAGGTTAGCCAAGAAGAAATATGATGGAGAGAGGACTGAAGAGAGGAGACAGAAATATAAGGAGGTGGGACGTAGAACAAAGAGGGAGGTAGCTAAGACAAAGCAGAAGGTGTATGATGAGTTGTATGGGAGACTGGACACTAAAGAGGGTGAGAAGGACTTGTACCAACTGGCAAGACAGAGGGATCAGGCTGGAAAGGATGTGCAGCAGGTAAGGCTTATTAAAGACAGGAATGGTAATGTTCTAACAAGTGAGGAGAGTGCGACGGGAAGATGGAAGGAGTACTTTGATGAGCTAATGAATGAAGAGAATGAAAGAGAAAGAAGAGTAGAGGTCATAGAAACTGTGGACCAGGAAGTGGGAAAGATTAGTGAGGGTGAAGTCCAGAAAGCTCTGAAAAGAATGAAGAAGGTTAAGGCAGTAGGACCTGATGACCAGTGGAGGTTTGGAAATGTCTTGGAGAGATGGCAGTGAGGTTTTTGACTCAAATATTCAATGACATATTTGAGGGTGAGAAAATGCCTGAGGAATGGAGAAGAAGTGCTGGTGGCCATTTTTAAGAACAAGGTGATGTACAGAGTTGTAGCAACTACAGGGGAATTAAGCTGATGAGCCACACGATGAAGATCTGGGAGAGAGTTGTGGAAGCAAGACTTAGACGAGAGGTGACTATCTGTGAGCAGCAGTATGGTTTCATGTCAAGAAAGAGAAAGAGCACCACAGATCCATCTTTGCTTTGAGGATGTTGATGGAGAAGTCAAGAGAGGGTCAGAAAGAACTCCACTGTGTCTTTGTGGATTTAGAAAAAACATCTGACAGAGTGCCGAGGGAGGAGGTGTGGTGTTACATGAGGAAATCTGGAGTGGCAGAAAAGTATGTTAGACTGGTACAGGACATGTATGAGGACAGCAGAACATGTATGAGGACAGCAGGACATGTATGAGGACAGCAGGACATGTATGAGGACAGCAGAACATGTATGAGGACAGCAGGACATGTATGAGGACAGCAGGACATGTATGAGGACAGCAGGACAGTGGTGAGATGTGCTGTAGGAGTGACAGATAGCTTCAAGGTGGAGGTGGGAGTGCATCAAGGATCTGCTCTGGGCCCCTTCTTGTTTGTTCTGGTGATGGACCGACTAACAGATGAGGTCAGGCAAGAATTTCCGTGGACGATGATGTTTGCAGATGACATTGTGATCTGTGGTGAGAGCAGGGAACAAGTGGAAGAGAACTTGGAGAGGTGGAGGTATGCCCCTGAAAGAAGAGGAATGAAAGTCAGTTGTAGTAAGACAGAGTCCATGTGTGTGAATGAGAGGGAGGAGGTGGAACAGTGAGGCTACAAGGAGCAGAGGTCACAAAGGTGCAGGACTTCAAGGACTTGTGGTCCACTGTCCAGGAACATGGGGAGTGTGGTGAAGAGGAGAAGAAGAGAGTCCAGGCAGGATGGAGTGATGGAGAAATGTTTCAGGAGTGATTTGTGACAAAAAGGTGTCAACTAATGTCAAAGGAAAAGTTTACAAGACAGTGGTGAGACCAGATATGTTGTATGGTCTGGAGACAGAGACATGGACAAAAAGACAGGAGACAGAGACATGATAATAATAATAATAATAATAATAATAATAATAATAATAATAATAATGCATTTTATTTGTTAGCACCTTTCAAGACACCCAAGGACACTTCACAACATTAAAAACACAAAATAAAACAATACAAAATGGCTTTAAAAACATTAAACCAAGAAGAAAATAACAAGAAATTAAATAGAAGGCTAACTTGGACAGATGAGTTGAGTTGTGATTTGAAGGTCTGAAGGGAGTCAATCTTACGGATGTCTGGGGGCAGAGCGTTCCAGAGTTGGTGAGCAGAGTGAGAAAAGGCTCTGTGTCCCACGGTGCTGAGGAGGACCAGAGGCACGTTGAGGTGGATGGAAGAGGAAGAACGAAGGGAGCGTGAATGGGTGATAACGTGCAGGAGCTGGGACAGATAGGGAGGGGGAGGTTATGGATGACCTTGAATGTGTCCAGCAAGATTTTAAATTGAATTCTGAAAGTGACTGGAAACCAGGGAAGTTGCTGTAAAACTGGGGTGATGTGTTGAAATGAGGGGGTTTTGGTAACGATGCGGGCAGCTGAATTTTGAACCATTTGAAGCTTATGGAGTAATTTGTGCAGCAGAGCAAACAGGAGAGAGTTACAGTAATTAATTCAAGAAATGACCAAACTATGAACCAAGATGGAAGCAGAGTGCGGGTAGAGGGATGGACGGAGACGGTTGATGTTTCGAAGGTGGAAGTATGCAGAGCGGGTAATATTATTGATGTGAGTGAAAAGAGCGAGTGCTGTCAAGAATGACACCCAGACTCTTAACATGAGGGGAGGGAGAAACCACGGAGCTGTCAATGGTGAGGGAAAAACTGTCGACTTTAGATATGGTGGATTTAGTGCCGATGAGTAGAAACTCTATTTTATCACTGTTTAATGTAAGGAAGTTAGATGTAAACCAGGATTTAATTTCAGCTAAGCAGGAAGTGAGGGAGGAAGGGGGAAGTGAAGAATTAGGTGCAGTGGATAAGAAGAGCTGGGTGTCGTCAGCAAAATAATGGAAGTGAATGTTAAATTTACGGAAGATATTGCCAAGGGGGAGAAGGTAGATGATGAAAAGAAGGGGCCCCAGGACAGAGCCTTGGGGCACACCTGAAGTGACGGGGGAGGAGTGGGATCTGAATGATTTAAGTTGGATGAACTTGGATGCTCCAGATGTTGCAGCTGCTCCAGATGTTGGTTCTGGAGTTTTGTGAAGTTCTGATGGTGGACAGCTTTAATTGCTGGTTGAACTTCGGGTGATTTGGAGCCGTTCGGCTGCAGAGTGTGGACCAACTCGAGCAGCTTCCAGGTTCTGGACCTGCAGATTGTTGCTTGTCCAGACCAGAAGGGTGCCGGCCCGGTTCTGTTCTCAGGGGCTGATGACCCAACAAACACATTCCGAGCGTCCTTCAGTTCAGATTATTTAAACATTAGAACTTTGTGTTCAAAGACAAATTTCAGATTAAAACAACGTTTTCTGAGATTAAAGAGACTTTTATTCTCTAAAGAGCAGCAGACTGAGCCACACTCTTATTTTGAAAAGACTCCATGAGCTTTATTTTGAAACGCTTCCTGTTTGACCTTTAAGGTTTTAGATGTTAAATACTAAAGTCTGCAGACACTTTCACAAAGTTCTGATCGGGTCCAAATGGAGCTGTGGGGGTGACCATGGTGGAGCCTGCAGAACCACAGAAGATCCACCGGGTCAGAACCACAGAGGATCAATAACAGCAGTTTGTTTATTTCAGCACCAGAACTTTTTTTTTATCATCCACATCAACTCTAAATGTTTTTCTTACAGAACCTTCTGAGTTGGAGCGGTTCCTGCCTCTGGATCAGAACCTTCTGGGTCGTGAACTTTCCTTTGTCTCTTCCAGGAACTCCTCCATCTCAGGAGATCCCGGCCGGTTTGTACCCGTTCATGGTGACGTCCGATGATGGGCGGGTGGTTCCGGTGGTGCAGGCCTACGCCTTCGGGAAGTACCTGGGTCACCTGAAGGTGACCTTTGATGACGAGGGGAACGTGGTGGCGTCCTCGGGGAACCCCATCCTGCTGAACAGCAGCATCCCGGAAGGTAAGGACCAAATGGACCTGCAAGTTCTGTTGGGTCACTGACTTTGAACTTGTTCTGGTTCCACAGCTCATCTGCTGACCCATTTGGGTTCTGTCTTTGTGCTGGAGGCGGGGTTAAACACAGAACCAGCCACTCCAACTTCCTGAAGGTCCAACGGAACCGGTCTTTGAACGCAGCTGGTTGTTGGTCTGAGTGTTTCAGAACCTGCTGGGTTCTGCAGGTCCACAGAGACTCATCAGACCTGGACATGTCTCCAGTCACACTGTCCAACGTTCTGCAGGAAGTGTGGCCTCGGGTCAGCTGGGTTCAGAGAAGTTCTGCAGAACTCTGTTGGCGCCGGAGCTTTTCTGTTACCAGTCGGGCCTTTTACCTCTGTCCCGAACAAGGCCTTCAGATTTTGGAACGGTCTCTGAGCCCACAGATGGTCCCGGCAGACCAGCAGATTCTGAAACACTCAGAGCAGCAAGTCCAATGAAACCTGGTTCAGCCCAGTTCAACCCAGTTGCACAACTGCTGCTTCTCTTCAGGTTTTGACCCGTTTCCCAGAGTCCTCTGAAAAGGTTTAGAACCACGACCAAAGAGTCCAAAGAGACCTTCAGAGAAGCAGACCGTTCTAAATATCTCAGAGAAGTCCGGTTCTGTTTGACTGGACCTTCTTCTCCGACAGATCCAGAGGTTCTGGCCGAGGTGACCGAGTGGAAGCAGAACCTGAGCTCGTACTCGGCCCAGGTGGTGGGACAGACACTGGTCTTCCTGAACGGGTCGCGCATGGCGTGCCGCTCGCAGGAGTGCAACCTGGGAAATCTGATCTGCGACGCCATGGTGAGTGTACCCGGTCCGGTCCGGTCCGGCCCGGTCCGGTCCGGCCCGGTCCGATCTGTACACTGTTTGAAATCAAATCATTTCTGTTGACCAACAACAATCCTAAATGTTCCTCTGGAAATGACCAGGCACCGGGCCGGGTCAGAATCAGGACCAGGATCTGCAGGCTGTAGAAGAACATCTGCAGGTTCTAGAAATCATTTACAGGTTCTTGAAGAGCATTTGAAGGCTCTAGAAACAGATCTGCAGGTTCTAGAACATCTGCACCTTCTAAAAAAACTGAAAGATGCTATATAAGTACATATCCTGATGCATGCTCAATATATAAGTACAGTTTACCATTTTACCAAAAGAACATTTGCAGGTTCTAGAAGAACATCTGCTCCCATCTGGATGCTGTCCTGAGTCCAAATTAAATGAAGTTCTAACAGAACCTCTTGGAAACGATTTGTTCCTTTTATTTTTTAATAATAAAATTTTCTGCATCAGTTTTTTGAACTTCCGGGTCTCGGACCTTTGACCCATTCAGATTCCAGTTCTGAGTTATAAAAGTCTTGAATGTGGTTCTTCTCTTCAGCTCGATAACTTCATCCGGTCCTCGGACGGAGAACGGTGGAACCAGGTGAGCGCCTGCATCATGAACGGAGGCGGCATCCGGTCGTCCATCGATGAGCGGAACCAGAACGGTACGTCGGATTGGACTCACGGGTTTATGATGTTTGACTGCAGGGGTGGGGGGGGGGGGGGGTTGTAACCAGGTGGTTCTGACGGGTCGTTCTCAGGGTCCATCACGATGGAGGACCTCATCGCCGTCCTTCCTTTCGGAGGAACCTTCGATCTGGTGCAGCTGGACGGCTCCACGCTGAGGAAAGTCTTCGAACATTCAGTGCATCGATACGGCACGAACCACGGAGAGTTCCTGCAAGTGTCCGGTAGGAATGCGCGATGTACACGGTAGAAACGATAGACATTTAGCCTACGATAGAGATCTGTCTTCTACTGGCTAACCGCAGTAACGCTGTGTCTGATGTAAAATCAGAGTTGTCAGTTTAATCGTTACTTTATTTAGTTGAAAACTGCGTAAATGGTGTTAAACTTTTTTTCGAAAGCTAAATAGCGAAGCTACAAGCTAACTACGTCCGGCTTGCCGTAGTGTTGCCGTATTCGGACGCATGCGCAAAACGCTGTGTTCCATCGAAGTTTTGTTTTGTTTTTTTTTCCGTTGAAAGTTAATGTAAGCGTTGGTCAGCTTTAGAGAAACCTGCTCTCTGATCTGTAAAAGAACGCTGTGTTGTGTGATTTTACTGCGAGACACTCTGGTCAAAGCCACAGAGGAAACTGGTCGCCATTTTGTGTCAGCTCTCCTTAAAGCGGAAGGAGATGCCCACTAGAGGTTTGGAGGGTGAAGTGTTTCAATTGCTGCTCTGTTGCTGTTTATTTCTCAAGTGAGAATACTGGAAACCATTAAGAGTTAACAACATATTCTTTTGTTAAAAACATAAGGCTAAAACTACATTTGATATATTTTGCTCTGTTTTGCACTACAAGAAAGAAGCCTAATACTTGATTTGTTTATTATTTAAAAACTCTCTGGACCTAGTAGTGGAATTTTCTTAATTGAAAATAAATGATCTCCTCCCTGGGCTGCCACCTTACCGTAGTGGAAGGGTTTAAGTGTCCCAATGATCCTAAGAGCTATGCTGTCAGGGGCTTCATGCCCCTAGTAGGGTCATCCAAGGCAGACAGGTCCTAGGTGAGGGACCAGACAAAGTGCAGCCCACAGACCCCTATGATGAGCAAAATGAATGGAATCAATGTTCCCTCGCCCGGACGTGGGTCACCAGGGCCCCACTCTGGAGCTGGGCCTGGAGGTGGGGCACGCTGGCGAGCGCCTGGTGGCCGGGCTTTTACCCATGGAGTCCGGCCGGGTGCAGCCCGAAGGAGACGTGGGTCCCCCTTCCCAGGGGCTCACCATCTGTGGGAGGGGCCAAAGGGGTCGGGTGCAATATGGGATGGGTGGTGGCCGAGGGCGGGGACCCTGGTGGTCTGATCCTCGGCTACCGAAGCTGGCTATTGGGACGTGGAATGTCACCTCTCTGGTGGGGAAGGAGCCTGAGCTGATGTGTGAAGTTGAGAGGTTCCGGCTAGAAATAGTCGGACTCACCTCTACGCATGGCTCTGGCTCTGGAACCAGTTTTCTTGAGAGGGGTTGGACACTCTTCCACTCTGGAGTTGCCCCTGGTGAGAGGCGCCGAGCAGGAGTGGGCATACTTGTTGCCCCCCATCTTGGTGCCTGTTCGTTGGGATTGACCCCGGTGAACGAGAAGGTAGCCTCCCTCCACCTATGTGTGGGGGGACAGGTTCTGACTGTTGTTTGTGCTTATGTGCCAAAAAGCAGCTCAGTTTACCCACCCTTTTTGGAGTACTTAGAGGGGGTACTGGAGACTGCACCTCCTGGGGGCTCTCTTGTTCTACTGGGGGACTTCAACGCTCACGTGGGCAATGACAGTGAGACCTGGAGGGGTGTGGTTGGGAGGAACGCCCCCCCTGATCTGAACCAGAGTGGTGTTCTGTTGTTGGACTTCTGTGCTCGTCATGGATTGTCTATAACGAACACCACGTTCAAGCATAAGCGTGTCCATATGTGTTCTTGGCACCAGGACACACTAGGCCGCAGTTCGATGATTGACTTTGTTGTCGTCTCATCTGATCTGTGGCCGCATGTCTTGGACACTCGGGTGAAGAGAGGAGCGGAGCTGTCCACTGATCACTATCTGGTGGTGAGTTGGCTCCGATGGTGGGGGAGGATGCCGGTCAGACCTGGCAGGCCCAAACGTATTGTGAGCGTTTGCTGGGAACTTCTGGCAGAGTCTCCCGTGAGACGGAGATTTAACTCCCACCTCCGGGAGAACTTCGAACACGTTCCGGGGGAGGCAAGGTACATCGAGTCCGAGGGAGCCATGTTCCACACCTCTATTGTTGAGGCAGCTTATTGGAGCTGTGGCCGCAAGGTTGTCGGTGCTTGTCGCGGTGGTAACCCTCGAACCCGGTTGTGGACACCGGCGGTGAGGGATGCTGTCAGGCTGAAGAAGTCCTATCGGGCCTTTTTGGCCTGTGGGACCCTGGAAGCAGCTGATGGGTACCGGCAGTCCAAGCGGCATGCTGCTTGGGTGGTCACTGAGGCAAAGACCCAGGCGCGGGAGGAGTTCGGAGAGGCCATGGAGAATGACTTCCGTACTGCTTCAAGGCGATTCTGGTACACCATCCGGAGCCGCTGACCTCAACTCGGGATATCGTGGGTCGGTGGGCAGAATATTTCGACAACCTCCTCAATCCCACCGGCACGTCTCCCACTGAGGAAGCGGAGCCTGGGGACTTTGGGTTGGCCTCTCCAATCTCTGGTGCTGAAGTCACCGAGGTGGTTATAAAGCTCCTCGGTGGCAAGGCCCCAGAGGTGGATGAGATTCGCCTGGAGTTCCTTAAGGCTCTGGATGTTGTGGGGTTGTGTTGGCTTACACGACACTGCAATATTGCATGGACATCGGAGGCAGTTCCCCTGGATTGGCAGACTGGGGTGGTGGTCCCCCTATTCAAAAAGGGGGACCGTAGAGTGTGTTCCAACTACAGGGGGATCACACTCTTAAGCCTCCCTGGTAAGGTCTGTTTGGGAGTTCTGGAGAGGAGGGTTCATCGGATAGTCGAACCTCAAATTCAAGAGGAGCAGTGCAGTTTTCTTCCTGGTCATGGAACACTGGACCAGCTCTACACCCTCAGCAGGGTCCTGGAGGGTGCGTGGGAGTTTGCCCAACCAGTCTACATGTGCTTTGTGGACTTGGACAAGGCATTTGACCGCTTCGCTCGGGGAGCCCTGTGTGTGTGTGTGTGTGTG